GTGTGTGTGTATCCGTATGTCTTTGTATATTGTACGCATAAAATGTGTGTTTATAAATATCTATTGATCGCTTCACGGTTGAATAGTTGTTCAAGTAACTGTTAGTTTGATTGCCTTCATCATTTTTTTTTCATTTGATGTACGACCAACAGATGGAATGATGCATCAATTTTTTCCCCAAAGTTATAATTATGACAAATGTTTGATTTGAGCTATTAACGTCTTGCCTGCTTTCACTTCTAATATACGTAAAGGTGAACCATAGATTGATAAAACATGAAATTGATTCAGTGATCTGTCCATTCATCAATTTCTTTGTGTTTGACCAGCTGATTGATATAATGATGAATCATTTTCCCCCAAGTTCTTTATATGAGAAATGTTTGATTTGAGCGACTAACTGCTTGTCTGCCTACCTGCCCGATTTACGTATCGGTGGACCATAGATTGATAAAACATGCAGTTGATTCAATGATCCACCAATCGACCGATCTACACATTGATTGATTCATTGATTAAACAATTGATTGACTGATTGCTCACTCGCTCGCTTGCTCCCAGACTTCATGCACGTGTGGCGTGACCCAGTGACCGGGGACATCCCGTGGCCGGGAGCTCTGATTGGGCTGACCACAGTGGGCATCTGGGTCTGGTGCAATGACCAGGTACGTCGTTTTGTACCTAGTGCTCACTGATAATTGAATTATAATACGTTGAATCTGATGGAGTCAGGGTCAGGCATATTTTTTCTTCATGGAGAGGCCAAAATTTTTATAAAAAAATCTACTACTTTGGCTCAATTTGATCAAATTCGACGGAAAAACCGATTGTGACTTTTAAGATTAAACACGATTTTTTCTAAATTGCATGTCAAATCGGTTCTCTACATGGAGGAAAAATCTAGCCTGCTCTTTTTTTAGGGGAAAGTGTTTAACGGCGCTCTTCGACTGTATTTGATTCACATGCGCACTGGGTATAAGCATAAAGTAAAGACCTGCGGAACGGCGTACTGACATGCTACACGTTTTTATTTAGATATGAGCCGGAGATGGGGCGATGATTTTTTTTTTGGGGGTCTAGATTTACGAGCAAGTTTCAGTAAATCTTTTATTTTTTATTTCCTAGTTAGTAGTATACATGCAACTTCTTCTTCTTCTTCTTCTTCTTTTCTTCTTCTTTTTCTTCTTTTTCTCGTCGCCATGTACACACACCGATTTCTTTATCATTAATAATACTTATACTAATACCAACACAGATCAATAATAATAATAAGTATAATAATAATAATAATAACAATAGAAATTATAATAATAGTGGGTGTCACAATAAAAGTAACAACAATAGCCCATCTCTCCCCCCCCCCCCCAGCTGATGGTACAGCGCTGTCTGTCTGCCAAGTCTCTGAGTCACAGCAAGGCCGGGGCTGTGTTTGCCGCCTCCCTCAAGGTCGCCAGCTTCTTCCTCTGGATAGTGCCTGGCATGATTAGCAGAGTTCTCTTCCCTGGTTCGTTGTTGGTCTGCTTTGGTGGCTTTATTATTTCCTTTAAAAAAATAAAAAAAAAATAAAAAGAATACAATTTTTTTTATTATGTTCGGCATTATGGTGACATCAGACACTCTTCAAAATAACGAAACCGAAGATATTGACTTTTTTTCCGCCTGTCGGGCAATAAGTATTTTTATCGACTTTTTTCTGGCTCAGCACCTTGGATATCCATTTCAAATCACAATTCTTTTTGGGTTTCTCTGAAAAACGATGGTCAAAGGCACATAAAAAAATGTAAATTTGCAGTTTCCAAAGACTCTCAAGCTTTAAAAGTCACCATACTTTGAAGGCTATTATCTCGCTGACGTTTCTTGTAACAACAGGCGATCCCCACCTCCTTCAATTGCAAATATCTGGACTTTTATTTAAGATAGATGAATGTTTTTTCAACTAGAAAGCAAGGCAATTGAGCAGTCTTTATGACTATCCCAATAACTCCATACTATGCCCAAAAACTGACGAGCGCCTGATTCCACTGCGTCGCGACATACAGAGCCAAAAGATGTGCTCTGTGGTAAATCAGAATTAGGTCAGAGTGAACAGTCTTGGATATTATAATTTATGATACAAGCCATGCTGTAACCTAACAAAAAACCCACGGAGGGCCTTAAGAACAGCCTCTAGTCTCATGCACTGAAAGTGAAAGTATATCCAATAAGTCATGACCTGATACGTTTTGAGATTTGGGGCCTGGAAGGTTATGGGGTGCAAGGTTTGGGGAGGGGGGGGGGTTGGGTCCAAATGGATACAAAATAAATATAATAAAGTAGCCCGATTGTAAGATTATGAGCGCATTTTACTTTTAAGCTGATAGATCTAGAATATCTAGGTAGCGTCGGTAGCCTAGTGGTTAGGCTACCGGGCTCGTAATCGTAGGATTGTGGGTTCGGGGGTTCGAGCCTCAGCTCGGTCCGACGTTGTGTCCTTGGGAAAGGCGCTTTACACGAACTTCCCACTTGGCTCGGTCCTATCGGAGACGGACGTTAAACCAGGAGGTCCCGCCCCTTAAATAACCTAATAGTGTTGCTTGGGGCGTTAAACCCATACCATTTAGAATATCTAGGCTTTACGACGGCAACGTAAAAAAAAAATTAAATCTGCGATCTCTGTGATGAAAAGGACTCGACCGACATTCAAACTTCCGCAGACTAACTTTCATGCTGTCTTTTAATTTTTTGTGTGCTTTATCTCAGACGAAATCGCCTGCGCCGACCCCGACACTTGCGAGGAGGTGTGTGAGAACAGGGCTGGGTGCTCCAACATCGCGTATCCTCTGCTGGTCTTGAGGAAAATGCCACCAGGTACGGTTTTTTAAGATTGCTGTACGCATGAATTGTTATTTCATTAATTAATGAACTGATTATTGTTACCAAGAAAACAGCATTTGCTTTAAAGATAATCCGAAGTTATCATCAAAATAGTTCTCTTTAAAGTATTGACTAGGGATGATTGCAAAGAGTTTGTTTTCTTGGTAGGAACACACTGTTTTTTTGGATTTCCTTTAAAGTTGTAAAAATTGCGTTAATTTAATTTTAAAAATTGAAGGCAGAATGCATTCCGCACACAAATAAAAGATCTGACCATTACATGACTATGTCATGAGATGCATAGGCTAAAAGCCTTGTGATAGGCTATTCTCACTAGACGGACACGATCTATTCGATTCTAAACAAACATGTTTGATTTTGAAGGATTCGGTCAAATTGTGCCAAAATTGCCGCATATTATTGTCCCTCTTGTGTCACCCCCACCCCACCCGGCCCCATCCCCTTTTCCAATGACTGTGAAACCGTTTGAGGCTTTTCGTTGAGATGCTCATGACTTTGAGCTTGCCCTAAATAGTCCAACCTGTTCTAACGGCCGCCTGTTCAGGACTACAGTATTACCTGTACAAACGGAGGGCAACCCTCCACTTCCCTCTTACATCGTTTCTATATCACAAGCCTACCCAAGACGTCCACCCGTATAAGACAACCGCTTTATTTGCTCCTCGACAATTCGCTACTTCAGAACTACAAAGTTCTATCTGCTCAGTACCTAGTTTTGAGAAATGTGACGTCAAAGATTTTGAGTTTCATATCATGTCAAGCTTTTTCGAATGCAATTCTTTGAAAATCTTGATAACGACTCCGAATAATTGTACGATTTTGATAGAGCAGACAAAACATTTGGTTTCTGACCTCAAAACAGCCCAAATTGTCAGATAAAACTTTGTAATTCTGAGATAGCAAACTTGAGGCCATCTTGGATAATTTCGACTGTACATGATGTATTTATTTGTGAATTTGACTGAATCAGCGTGCTGAAACCAGATGCCCATTCAAAATAATGAAATTGAAGAAATCGGTATTGTTGCTGTCTTTTGGCAATTTTTATCGGATTATTTTCGGCTCAACATCTTCAGTGTCCATTTCTGGGTGGGTTTTGCTGAAAAATGTTGATCCAAAGCACAACAAATGTTAATTTGCAGATTCCAAGGCAAGCACACTAGAGATTTAAAAGTCACCAAACTTAGAAGTCCATTTTCTCGCTAATTCTCTGAAACCAGGTTGACCAGTGACACTGGGGATAGGTCCAGAAACTGTGGGTGGAAGAATTTATTTAAAGAAAAGAATGATCATTCTAAACTTGCTTGTTATTCAGTCGTAATTTAGATCTAGATATGTACATGTGGATCTAGATATCTAGATCTAGCCTAATACGGGTTTTGGAGACCACGGTACAGGATAGGTGGAAAACCTGTCCAAGTCTTCTTTCTTCTACGGTCAAGTCTAGGCCCAAGTAAGAGAAGAGAACAAAAGTACTGAACTGAAGTGAGAAGAGAGTCCACAGCACACGTTAGAATAGAATCTAGGCCTAGAATCTTGATCTTTTGAAAAGCTGCACATTTTTCTTCCAACTCTTTGAAGGAGGAGAACTTGGCGCCCACTTCCATCTGCATCGCAATATGTTTCGAAGTTCCAAGTGAAAATTCAAAGGCTATTTTTTTAAATGCAAAAGAGTTCCGTTGTCACTGGGAATAGCTTCAGTAACTATCCCCAGTGTCGCTGGGACTGGGAATAATCACTTCGATTTGTAATTTATCTTAAACTTCCTTCCAGGTCTGCGCGGGGTGATGCTGGCGGCCCTACTTGCAGCACTCATGAGCACGCTGACGTCTATTTTTAACTCCGCCTCCTCCATGTTCACCATGGACATTTGGCGGCGCATCCGCAAGAGGGCGCCACAGGGCGAACTTATGTTGGTGGGTCGGCTCACGGTGCTGGCACTTATAGGGTTCAGGTACAACTGTTTTTTTTTGTTTCGTTTTATTTTGTGTTGTTTTGTTTTGTTTCGTTTCGTATCGTTCTGTTTCGTAACTTTCTTTTCGTTTTGTTTCATTTCGTTTTGTTTCGTTTCGTTTCCTTTCGTTTTGTTTTTGTATTGTTTCGTATTTTAATCAATTTATTTTGCTGAAGTCAAGTCACAAAAGGGCTGTTTAAGTGTAGGCAAAACGTGCTAAGATTTGTTTTGTTTTGTTTTGAGTTTGAATACGTGTATATTTATTTTGTTGAAGTCAAGAGGGCTATTTAAGTGAAGGCAAAACATGTCAAGATAAGTTTTGTTTCACTTTGCAGTTGAATATAACATTATTTGTTTTGTTGACATCAAATGGGTTGTTTAATGTGCAGGCAAAGTGTGATAAGATTAATAATTGATGAACTATTTCTAGCCATGTTGTATTCCTTACCATCCCAGATCTGTGACTCTTTCCCCTTGCCCACTTTTTCTCCTCCCTCTCTCTAGTTCCTCCCAATTTTTACCATGTTTTAGAAGCTCCCTCCCTCCCTCCTTCCCCCTCTCTCT